ATTATGACTGTGGTTAAGACTCTTTTGGTAATAGGTAACTGCTGGGCAGGATTTGTTATGAAATATCTGTTACAGTGAAGGTATCTGCTTTGAAAATCCTTTATTAATTTAAAAGACAATAATAGTTGGCTGGATCTAAAAAAAAAAGTTTTGAATTGGTGATGTTTTTGTTAGAATCACCTGAAATGAAATAGATCAATAAAGCAATAAATAGTATTCTATCATGAAAGGGAAGAATATTAATTTATGATATCAAGAAATTATGTAGATAAAGGTTTGATTATGTAACATGTTGAAGATCATAAATAAGGCTTCCCTAAGATAGTGTCTCCCAGATGTTACACTGAAGTTCTCAAAATTTGCATCTAACACATTGCAGACATTTTTAAATTAAAGAAACATACAGAGTTGAAATCCATAATATCATAAGAAAGAGGTAATGAAAAAAGGAAACTTTCAATCTTTCATTGTGAATATTAATCTTAACAGATTAGTACCAATTCATTTATTTCAGTCACATTCATGACTATAAAATATGTGTCATTTCATGATTACAGCCAGCCTTGGTCTGTCCTTCTTGCAATGATCTAAGTAAAACATAAGATACATGCCCATCTGTTTCTTAAAAGTTTAGCAGCATTGTCCATTTCTCTGCTCCTGCTGTTCTACCTTAGCTACGTGACTGATTTTTTTTTTAATCAGGATTTTTTTATACATGATTAGTGGGAATAATGAGGTCTGATGGTCACTAATTGGACAGATATGAAACTCATGCTTTTTGTTGCATCAGCTTATGTTAATTTGGTTTTAAATTCTATCTCCAGTAATATTTGGAGTATAGTTAAAACTTTAATACAGCATCTAGTCATAGAAGCCATGAGGGAGAAACTTGAAATTCTGCCTTCTCCCTTAGTGCATGTTTGACTTCACAGGAAATTCAAAGAAAATGAAAAATGCTAATGTCTGTAAGATTCTTAAACTTTTTTTTTGCTATGAATAAAACTAACATAATATTTGTTAAAACATCGACTAAAATAATATCCCAGTCCCTTGTTCCCACCACAACATTCATGCTTTCCTATGCAAAAATACTTCAGAATTCTGTATTTTTTTCCCCATTAAAGAAGCTGTAGCATTTAAAGTAGCATAATCTTCATGTGGCCTCCTGGCATTGCATATTTGAAAAAGAGGTTTACTGAATTCACTCCAAGTACGTGGCACTAATTTGTGTGTGTGTGTGCATGTATGCCCACATGCACATGTATGGCCACCGTACACAAAATACTTTGGGGAGTTGCTTCTAAAAATAAATGTTGGGAATAATTATGACATTAATTCCAATGAAAACCAAAGACATATTTGTAAAACTTTCTGATACTGATAATAAAGAAGTGGACTGAGTATGTAAAGTAATTTGCACAAGTATGAAAAAGTTACTGGTTTCATATATCTGCTGTTATCATCAGACATAGTGGATAGGTTTAAGCCTTGTTAAAAGCTTGCCCCAGTCCCACTACATACTGGCAAAACCAGGATCAAGATGATCCTTTTATTTTTAAGGATTATCCTTAAATCATGATCAAGATAATTCTTTCTCCTCCCTAGTACCATCCCTTTGTATAGAATCAGGTCACTGTTCGGTGGCACAGAAATCCCATTCATTCATTGCAGTAAATAATGAAGTTCCATCCAGAACACTGATATACTGAGAAGAGTTGTGTCCAAATATGTTGGACTATAACTCCCATTGTCCACAGTCAGCCATATTAGGGAATGTGAGGAGGCAAATCTTCGTAGGTTAGAAATTCAAGACTGGCAGTGTAGGATCTTCCAAAGCCATCATTGGATCATAATTTTCCAAAGCACCTGAAGGCAGGACAAGAAGCAATGGGTGAAAACTAACCAAAGAGAGAAGCAACCTAGAACTAAGGAGAAACTTCCTGACAGTTAGAACAATTAACCAGTGGAACAACCTGCCTCCAGAAGCGGTGAATGCTCCAACACTGGAAGTTTTTAAGAAGAAACTGGACAGCCATTTGTCCAAAATGGTATAGGGTTTCCTGCCTGAGCAGAGGGTTGGACTAGATGACCTCAAAGGTCCCTTCCAACTTTATCATCATCATCATCATCATCATTATTATTATTATAATGCTTTGCTAAGGGAAGGACCCATCAAACGGTGCTAGAGCAGTGTAAGAGCCATTAAAATTTATTACCGTGAACTATTAATGATGCTTTGGAATATAAAACAGATTTCTTAATATCTTGATTTGATAGGGAGGGGTGTGTGTTGGGGGAGTATGTCAACCACCTGTTTGATCTCACCCAAATAATAAAAAGTGGTAACTTGCATAAGAGGCCAAAAAAGAACTCAAGTTCTTCACAGTATAAGGTAGGATGAGGGCAGCCGGGCCATTTCTGCCTCTGGACCTTCATTCTTGGCAGATCTACCCTAAGTTCTAGTCCAAGACCAACAGGGCTCCTTGGCAAAACCTAGGAAAACAACTCAAGTTCTCTTCATCATTGCAGTACTGCATCTGGGTTGCATATATCTGGAAATTACAGATGGCAGCAAAGAGCATTTTTCTGTATTGTTCAGCTACTGTCTAGTAATGTTGATTTTTTTACAGCGGAAATCGGGTAGCCCAACTCTGTCCAAGCTAAACCGTTTTACATACTTAGCAATTGCTAGGTAACAAATGCCTTAATTTTTCTTCTGCACTATAAGAAAATACATATATTTTTAGATTCCATGTATGGGAACTGTTAATACATTTGCTGTATTTATTTTAACCAAGCTGTTTGTTTCTATTCTATATACTAAACAAAACAAAACATAATATGCATAGTTTTATATCCAGTAATGTAATATTTGTGGCTTTATGAATATTTGTGTTGTGTTTGATTTCTAAATCTGCTCTTGCACAATGATTGTACTCAGTGTTCGGAATTTTATGTTGTACCATATCTTAATATAAAGAACACACAGATAAAATATATGGTAAAATAAACCCACCTACATTTATTTTCTGTCAAACCTGCCTGTTTATTAGAATGTTTATGTTGATGTGATGATGATGTGAAAATTAAGCATTTTTATTTGCAGTTTTTAGAGAATAGAGAATAGGTTATGTTCTCCTAAGGTTCACCCTTAATCAGAATGTAATATCCCAATACCTTGCATGTTTATATTTCTGTTTCTATAATTGTAAGAGTTATTAAATATTAATGCTATATTTCTCTAGCACAAGAAA